GCCACCTAGTGGCGGACCTTGCCGTGGATTTTGATCACTGGCGTCGCCATCTACAAACACACTATTAGTATTTGTTAACGCAAACAGAGAAATCCGCAAGCGCACGGATATCGCTGTAACTTTCACCCGGGAGTATTCCAAGATATCGATTTCCACGGGGAACGTGAAGTGTACTAATCAAGGATCAAGTTGGTCCAAGAATAAAAAGGACAATAAATGGTTTTGTGGGTAGAGAGGAATTTCCTAAGTTTTCCTGACCAATCTAAAGAATCAAGGACAAGACTATTTCACGGTTACTCACTTCGGGACATCAGAACACTAGCCACAGAAAGGGATGAGAAAGGGGCTAGGAAGCTCCGACTACGGTCCTACAAACACCACCCCGAACGTGGTGGACTACTGTACCATCTCTGGTTGGCCTAGAGGGGTATGAATAGGCCTGTCAAAACAAACACTCAAACTTTTATCGAATTCACCCAGCGGCACTACCGCTCTGGAGGGCAGCACTGCCGGGCTGCGGCACTGTCGGGCCAGAACAGCGGCACTGCCGCGTGTAGACAACTTCGAATCACAGTTCAAAATCCGTGAACGAAAACTTAGATCGGAGAAATTTCCTTGCTTACTGCAGGTATGACAACTACAGAGCTAGAAGTGGTAGGAACACCACACACAAGTAGATCGACTAGAAACCCTAGAAATCACCTCAACCACAATATGTCATGTAAGTAATGTAAATCAAGCACAAGTGACACAATGATTTATCCCGTGGTTCGGCTCGCCACCAAGGCTTGCCTACCTCCACGTTGTTGAGGTTAGCCACTAAGGTTTAGGGCTTTCCAACCCTTCCTCGTTCTCAAATCAAGAGACTTAACTCTTGAGATGAGGGGTGAGTTTACTAACTTCAAGAGATGGTTACAAACCTCCCGGGTCAACCATGTAACAGCAATTATTGGAGCTAAACAAGTCTCATCACATTGTAAACTATTGTGGAAGTACCTCATTGGCGACTGCCATAGATTAATAGTTTCGTAGTAATCATTGGCTATATAGTACAGGCTGAGGTAAGAAGAAACACTTGGTTGTTGGGCAAACACGCTAATCGGTATGATTACTGCATTAAAAACTCAATGATTTCGTTGACAATAATTAAGAAGTTACCATGCTTGCAATTTAATATTAGTTGGTGCCTATTTTAATTTTTTCCATCTTTTTGCATATGGTAATAACATAGAAAAAATATTGTTTTATTATTTTAGCTAATACAAAGTTAAAAAATTAACAATCTCGCCTCCAAGCAAAACTGAAAGGAACAGAGAAGAAAGGGCAGCAAAACCTGAAGGTAAGGGGTTCCTATGTTTGTCATCTCTACTCCCACCGTTCCAAATTATAGGACGTTTTGGTATTTCTAAATATATAATTTTTTTCTATGCATTTAGATATATATACACTATATATAGATACATTTTAAAAATAATGTACCTAAAAACCCAAAGCTTCTTATAATTTAGAACGAATGAAGTATATGGAAAAAAAACATACAGAAAGCACAGCTTTCGTTAGGAATGAGGCCATGTTCTTATTAAAATAGCAGAGAATGGTGCATGAAAAGCTAGGGTTACGCTGAGGACAAGCACTATAAGCCATTTTCATATAGTTACAAAAACACCTTGTCATCGAGAGCAACTAATTGTTTGTTGCATTTTGTTTTGTACTACACTGTTTTATTCTGGAAAAATATATATATGAATTTCTGTCATTGTCACTGACCTTGTATACATCATCATTTCAAAGTCCAGGCAAATTTTTTGTACTTCTAGGATCGAGTACATACATACTGCCACTAATCACAAATATTCGTGGTATATTCTACACAGATGGTGCATGCCATTTAAGTACCTTAATATACTAGAAAAGAATTTAATCATTTACATTTAAAACAAATCTAACCGTGAAAGTACCTAGACCCTCAGGAGCAGAAAATCAAATCTTGACACACATAGAACTTTTGTAAACAAAACATATGGACTTGCCTCTATTAAATCATACATTTCCACTTTTATCTTCCATGTAACACCCTGCACTCAGTGTTATCCTAATAAAAATTAAACAGTAAACAGTTGATTGCTTGGCGTCTAGCCATTATTGGGCCTAAACTGCCACTTCAGTAGGATAAACGGTTGATTTAAATAGAAACGGCGTACCACTGTATAGCATTTAAGCAGTGTGTAAATGGGCTAAATGATTGTTTAGGCAGATAGTGCCTGCACTACATAAACACACACATATAAGACGAATGCCCCTTCCATGTCTATAAAAGCAGCATAAGGTAAACGTTTCCTGGAAGCCCTAGAAGTTTCGAGCTTTACAAATGGCTCTTGAAACAGATAAACAGAATCCTAGAGAAGCCAAAAAACTTGGTGCAAAATTTCAGCGTCATGACTCCCTATATGGGGATGCTGAAAGAGTATCAGACACTGGATATCATGCCTCTGAGGTCTGCTTCTTATCCCATAATTTGTTCTCTAGTGTTACATTATATATCGCTTGTATAGCATGAACTTACTATTTGGATTAGCAAAAGATTAAGGGAAGAATAAACAGCTATGTTCATAACTTGCATCTGATCCTAGAACATACTCTCTCCCCCCCCCTCTCTCTCTCCTTGAGTAGTATAACACACACAGAGATGACATAAAAGGATAACACAGTCAACAATATACTAAAACAAACTAAAATTTCAAGTTAACTCCTTATTTCAATTCAAAGAAACATATATTTGTTCATCCACTAACTTTGATTCGGTTTCTCCGTAAAAATCGCCTGTTGCAGCAGACGATGAGTTTCTATATGATATTCTTGTTCAAAGAAGAGATAAAGCTTTTTGACACTATAGATTAAATGGGCTCTTGAGCACTGTGAACACACAATGAGTTTCTATATGATACTCAATCCATGAAGTAAAGGATTGAAACAAACATTCAAGTCATAATATCTATGATCTACAAAACAATAGTTATATTTGAACTATGCTGTGGATTAGATATTCATACTTACTACATATATTCACTACATGAGACAGGATAGTTGGGCTCGAACGTTGCATTTGGCATTCCAGTGCATTGGAGTGATATATGGTGACATAGGCACATCACCGCTGTATGTGTATGCAAGCACCTTTACAAGTGGCATCAGCAATGTTGATGACCTCTATGGAGTCCTGTCACTTATTCTTTACAGCATAATTCTTCTACCTATGATCAAGTATGCCTTCATTGTTCTGTATGCAAATGACAACGGCGATGGTAAGTTTTCCTTATCTAAGAATCCTTTAGATTCCAGTTCGCTGGAGAAATTACTCTCGTTAACCTTCAGCTTGTTTAATTCCCTTTCTTTAATAATATGATGAGATGGGAATCAACTATATGTCAAGAAGCATTATATTTCATCCTCAGATGTTTCCAGACAAGGAAAAAAATGATTATGTACATTTCTATATATGAATATGAGTATTATTTATTCTTAGCACTTTTCTGCTAGATCAAAGAACAGGTATACATAAAAACTGGGCTCCACTATATGAAATGGTTACAATAATGCCTTGTGGAAAACAGATTATTGTTTCATATATCATATACAGTTCTTGCTACACCGGCCTTACAAGAACATAATCTTGTAGGTGGCACATTTGCACTTTACTCATTGATATCGCGGTATGCAAAAGTGAGCTTGATTCCAAATCAGCAAGCAGACGATGCAATGGTCTCAAACTATGGCCTAGAAACAGTATCAGCCCCTATGAAGAGGGCTCAATGGACGAAAAAGATGCTGGAAAGTAGCATGGTGGCTAAGGTTGCCATTTTCCTCCTTACCATACTGGGCACCTCAATGGTTATCAGCGATGGTGTTTTGACGCCAGCAATATCCGGTAACTATAACTGGAACTTCAAGTGATGCCTTTTACTGGTTATTCTCATGGTTTCAGTTGTATCTGTGAGTTCATACAAGTAATGAAGTAGTAGCAGTAAAGTACATGTAATAATTAATGAAGGCATGCTAAATATCCTTTACTCCTTCAGTGACACATTTATAAAGCATAGTTTTAAAGTTGGCAAACATTTTTTTCTTGTTAACGAAGACTTGCACATTGACATGCTGCCTATGATCTATCTGTGCTAGTGAGTCATTCCTTGACAAATAAGATATGTCAAAATGACGTGATCTATGTTTTGTGGATGTGTTTCAGTGCTCTCTGCGGTGAGTGGTCTCCAAGAGAAAGCACCTCAGCTGAAACAGGGTAAGAGCTATTTGACTTGATTGTAGAACAAAAGCATAAAAAATGAAAATACGAAGGGCAGCTTCAGAAAAGTTGAAAGAATCCTTGCACATACTAACTTAACAGGAATTATTTGTCACTCAAGTATTTGATTTGATAGAATATCTTGTAATGTGCAGACAAACTTGTAAAACCATTTGTTTGGTGAGAAGGCCAGGTTTCTCTGTGCACAAGAACATCTGTCCACCTTGGTGGCGAGCTGTTTGGTCACCAGCCACTGGCCGTGATAGCTGCAAAACTAAAAACAATGTACACAGTAATAAGTTCGAAAGTGCATGATCAGCATTTTTGCCATGACACACATGTCTTCTCACAGAAAGAAAACGCCAATGTTGCCGTCTTAGCTCCCCACTAGCATTGCCCGCCAGGTCGTTGTCGTAGCTCGCTGCTCATGCATCCTGCTAGCCACTAGCGCAGGCCTGCCTGTGGTTGCCGTCGTTGCTCCCCCACCCGAGCAGGGAGCAGGGCCACTCTGTGGGTTCGGTTGCTGCTTGCTCTGCCGGCATGACACACAAAAAGAAATAAGTATAGCAATGATGTATAAGGACAGGGAGCATATTTTATTATTAAAAGGAAAAACAACAAAGTGGTTTCGTACTACTATAACTCTCATGTCATCACTAACAAAAATTTCTTTGGGTTTCATTTTTCTATTCTTACTCGGCAGAGCAAATGGTATGGATCTCTGTTGCCATTCTGGTGGTGCTGTTTGCTGTTCAGCGTTTTGGCACAGACAAAGTTGGCTATTCATTTGCACCCATTATTCTGATGTGGTTCCTGTTCATTGGTGGCATTGGAATTTACAACTTAATCAAATATGACATCGGTGTTCTGAGAGCTTTCTATCCAAAATACATCGTAGACTACTTCAAAACGAATGGAAAGGATGCATGGATCTCCCTTGGGGGCATCCTTTTATGCTTTACAGGTGACTTTCAACGTATGTAAGCATATCACAAAATCAATTCCCTAACACCCTAACCCTCAATGGCACCAAAACAGGCACAGAAGCTATGTTTGCTGATCTAGGCCATTTCAACATAAGGTCAATTCAGGTATGTGTATGTTCTTTCTGAAACTAATATCAGAAATGGCTCCAGAGAAAGTCACGTTAAGGTTTCATTTGCATCTTGGTTATCCTTAAAAATAGTAACCAATAAAAAGTGCAGGAATTAATGTTAACCTTTTACATCTTATTATGCTGTGATTAACATAAGATGACAGCAATCGTGTTGCTTTATATTTCAGATCAGTTTCAGCTTTATTTTGTTCCCGTCAGTGTCATTAGCTTATATTGGTCAAGCGGCGTTCCTTCGTAAACACCCAGAACATGTTCTTGATACTTTCTATAAATCAATTCCAGGTAAATTATTCAAGATGATGTAGTGCCTCAATTCCATCTTTTGTTTGAATCAAACACAATTGTATCTTGTTTGCAGGACCAATGTTCTGGCCAACCTTCATAATTGCTATCTCTGCTGCGATAGTTGCAAGTCAGGCTATGATATCCGGTTCATTCGCAATCATTTCACAGTCACAAACATTGGGCTGCTTTCCAAGGGTCAAAGTACTCCACACCTCAAAACTTTATGAGGGGCAGGTGTACATTCCGGAGATAAACTTTGTTCTTGGGTTGCTTTGTGTGATAGTAACATTTGGTTTCAAGACAACGACTAATATTGGCAACGCATATGGTAAGACAAACGTGAATCCTATACTACTCTGCTTTGTGAAACATGACACCGAGTTAATTCTGTGCAGGAATTTGTGTTACTTCTGTGATGGTTATTACAACTATTCTGCTTGTAATTGTGATGCTTCTCATATGGAGGGTGAGCATTTGGCTGATAATACCCTTCTGCCTGGTATTTGGTTCCATAGAGCTTGTCTATCTTTCTTCAGTTCTATACAAATTCAAACAAGGGGGTTACCTACCTATTGTGACTGCAGCAGTTCTACTGACGATCATGGGTGTTTGGCATTATGTCCACGTAAAGAAATACTGGTACGAGCTTGAGCACATAGTTACAAATGAAGATATGCGAGAACTCATTCAAGCATATGACGTAAAAAGAACTCCTGGGGTAGGCTTCCTCTATATAGAATTAGTGCAGGGTGTCCCACCAATTTTCCCCCACCTCATTGAGAAAATACCCTTTGTTCATTCAATCCTAGTGTTTGTTTCCATTAAACACCTGCCGATCCCTCATGTTGAGGTTTCAGAACGATTCCGCTTCAGGAAAGTTGAGTCAAGAACCTCCCGGATGTTTCGGTGTGTGGCACGATATGGGTACAGTGATACCATAGAAGGGGCTAAGGAATTTTCTGCTTCCCTTGTTGAAGGACTCCAATCATATATTGAAGAAGGGCATTTTATCACAAACATGCAAATTCAGGAAACTGAGGCTGAAGCAACCTCCATCACAGATAGTAACACAAGAACACGTAAAGCCAGCGGCTCCACAGTGTACATTGAAGAGGCACTGACGCAAAGTGAAACTACAGATCTCACCCAACCTCCCATAAGCAGCTACTCAGCGCACTCATCTGGAAGGATTAGCGAAGACCAATCCCGCACAATTGCAGAAGAAAAACAATTTATTCAGAGGGAGCTGCAGAAAGGAGTGGTCTATATTCTTGGAGAAACTGAAATCAGGGCAGGATCAAATTCTTCCTTTTTCAAAAAGATTGTTGTCAACTACATGTACTCATTCCTGAGGAAGAACTTCAGGCAAGGGAGAAGGCTTTTGCAATCCCAAGGCAGAAGTTGCTCAAAGTGGGAATGGTATATGAAATTTAAGCATCATGAAGAGACTACTGCAGAGGGAGCTGCATTGGTTTCACCAATACAGGTTTGTGTTTGGTTTTCTTTATTAAGCACATATTGCACTTCCTTGGCAGGCAGTGTCCCTGGCAACATGATTTATGTGTGTGTTGATAAGCTTGTGATGCTATAAACAATGTGTTGGCGTGTTACATGAAGACCTGTATCGTGTGTCCGGCAATACACCTACACCCTAGGGTAGGCCTGTTTGTTATTTTTCACACGAATGTAATCGTAGGCTTTGTTGCTTCGTATGGTACACCTGCCTATATGTACTGAACACATTCGATGCAATACTTGTGTGTTTTCATCCATCATTTACTCATGTTTTCACAATGTATGCCAATGGTTCTATGCACTTTAAGTGCTGTACTAAAGTGTTAAATAAGCATTTTTTTTTTTTGAAAACTTGGAGTCCTCGAACAACTATATTTTCTCGGGTCTAAAAGGGAAAATAAACATTGCACCTTAAGCAGCAGTATTCCTGTGTCTATAACAAAAAACTTATTCCCACATAGGCCTAAGCACTTTTGCTCAAACTCTAAGGCACATCAGCATTTCATTTCTAGTTGATATACCCCGCTGAATCACCGACCATCAGTATAAAACAAATCACATAAATGGAAAAGACAGGAGAGAAGAACAAACTAACAATCACATAATAAACCAAATCGATTAAGAATCGTGGCAGGGAGGACGTACTGTAGAATGGCCGATGCAGCACTCACGAGCGGCCACAACGCGAGGCATGCGTCCCCAACTCCCCATTGATGCGCCTCTCCTCCCTCTCGGACATATCGTCGAACGACTTCCGACCACGACCAACCTGGGGACGAACGCTCTATGAAATGAATCGCTTGCCCGGACAGGCGGAGACTGATGCCAAGAAATAAATGCACAAAGAGAGGATTAGACGGGAAAGAAATGTGTGTAAATCTGATCGGTGTTTGGGGCCTCTGAAGACTGAAGTCAGTGTCTCTACGTACCCAGTGCTTTCTCTCAACGTGAACAAAAGGAACTTTCTCGTGCCCAGTTGCGTTCCAGAACACTGGAGTGTTTTAGAGCTGCTATTTTTGCTTCACGTTTTTGCTTTTGCTTTGTCCCTGTACCTCTTTCTCTTTTATAGTAATATATATACTCGTGCCTGGCTGTAAGGATGAAAACGTTACGGAAATATCTCGTACCCAACCGCATCGTTTTCTATATTTAATCCGATCGAATTCGTATTTTCGAACAAATTCGAATTCGGTTCAAAATTCGGAACACCAACTTCAAAATTTGAACGAAAACGGTGTAGACATTTTTTCGACCGTTTTCTACTTTTCTACTTTTAATTCAGAATATCCCAAATTCCAAATTCGGTTTCGAAATTCGGTTTAAACCAAATTTGGCCAACTACAAGTCCAACCTTAGAAAAATTATATCTTTTTTATACGATCTCGAACAAAGATGATTTTTATATGAAAATTGTAGCTCTCGATGAGATCTACAACTTTCTAATTCTTAGTTTTTTCATTTGATGTCTTGAAGATGTTCAAAAAAATTAAAAAAAGTCAGCGATATATTAATCGCGTACAAGCGCTTGTTACCTTAAAAAATCATATCTTCCTTACATCGTGTCGAATGGAGATACTTTTTAAGAAAGTTGTAGGACTTGTTAATTATTATGTACTTATTAATTGTTATGCACTTGGTCCTATGGGTCAATATTTCGTATTGATTTTTCGTATACCGACCGTGTTCGACATAATTCCGCTCGCATAAGTTCGTTTTTGTTTTTGTGTCCGGCTTTACCGTTTTCGTTTTCGTATTCAAATATAGAAGTAGAAAACGATTGAGAGGTTTTTCGACCGTTTTCGACCGTTTTCATCCCTACCTGGCTGGTCTCCTGCCAGTCCTTTTAAAGAACGATAATTATACGGTGTCCGTCTCGTGACCTGCGCCCGGACGCAGCCCCCACATGTGGCTCCATCTCCAATAAAAAAATCCCCACTCATCCTGTGCCCCGAGGCCACGACGCAAGATTCCGCCTCCGACTTCGAGCGTGAACGCTACCGCCCCAAGCGTCAAGGCCAAGCCGCCCAAGAGGCACCCAGCCAGCCGCTCCTCATGCCCTCACCTAGGCTTGGCGCTCGTCACCGAGCCAGGCTGCGCGTATGGCCACGTGGCCGCTCATCCACCGGGCCCCTTCCCCCACCGTGCAGCCGTCTCCCGCCGTGCCGTGCCCTTCCTCCCACCGCGGAGACTCGAGCTTGTTGGCTACCGCAGTTCCCCACCAGGTAGGCCATGGCCGCCAGCGACGCTGTGTTTTTCAAATGTTTTAGGCGTTTTAAAATTATGTTTCAAGTGTTTTATCTCGATATTTTAAAAGTAGATCTGGATGTTGCATATATTGCAATGACAATATGCGCATGTTGCAAGCCAATATTTCAGATGTTTCAGACGTATGTTTCAAGTGTTTCATCTGGACGTTACATATATTGTTGTGGCTCTACCCGCATGTTTTAAGCGTATGTTTCAAGTGTTTTATATGTTTCATACTTATGTTGCAAGTGCTTTATCTGGGTGTTGCAAAAGTAGATCTGGATGTTGTATAGGTTGCATGCATATACACGCATGTTTCAAGCACATGTTTCAAGTGTTTCATCTGTTTCGTATGTTCAAATGTTTCATCTGGATATTTCAAAAGTAGATCGGGGTGTTGCAGGGCGCGGCTGGTGGCTGTCGCTGCTGTTGCTGCTGCTGGGGCGCAGCCACCCCACGTGGTTTCCCGTGCGTGGGCGCGGGTCCTGCGACGGATGCGGATGCTAGTGCTGGGGCGGGATGCGGACGTTAGAGCAACGCAGGTGTGAGAGCCACGTCTGAACGCGACATTCCGTCCGGACGTCCGGACGCTAGGCCTTCTGTTAAAAAAATAAAAAAAGTTGTGTTTCATAACAGTGGACCACTGGTTTCACCGTAGCACAATCGTTTAGGACTGTAATGGACAGAACATAATTTCACATGGCAGTTTACTTGCGTGAGTGGGCAAGGATTAGCAAGAGTTGGTACATAGGCACAGCACATCAGTGACGAGAGCATGTGGCGAGTGTTAATCATAGTTACCTAACTCACCTTCGAAATGGAGGCAAGTTGAACTAAAAAGAGGTACTCATTAAGTGTTTTTTTTTTGGAAACCTAGTATAGTCAGCACACTTATGTACGAGCACTCCGAAGGACTAAGCTAGATTGATAAATTTTGAGATTAACGAATTCGTCGTAGACGGTCAATGGACATATCACCTACCATCTTAGTTTTTCCTTAAGTCAAATGTGTCTTTTAACTTTTATTTAGTTAATAGAAAAAAGTATTCACTTAATAAATGTAGAGAAGTTTGGCTTCCCAACAAATCTTGAGATTAACGAAGTCACCGTAGGCGTATCGCTTATCACCCATCATCTTAGTTTTTCCCTAAGTCAAATGTCTTTTAACTTTTATTTAGTTATAGAAAAAATGTAGTCACTTAATAAATGTAGAGAAGTTTGACTTAGGACAAAAAATGAAAACAACCTAGTATATTTTAAAGTGCAGAGAATACATGATTGCAAACCATGCAGCATGAAAATACACTGATGATTTGGTAACGTAACGTGTACTTGTGTCCTTCTGAACCACTTCAATCCCTATTATTCTATTATATCTATAATTAACAGGATAAAGACAAGAATTATTTTCTTTCGTGTGGTTCCGATTAAATAGCACCAATCATGAACTATTCTTTTTGTCTGCTGAAACAAGGAATAAGTCAAAGCTTCCAGGTCAGAAAAGTTTTAAGGTAAACTCTCAGTAGCACCTCATACTTCTACTGGGAGGATGATTAAAATATACAACTACTAGACTCGCGATATGTCTGTACATTAGGACAAGACAATCCGTTCCATGGAGAAAATGATAAGGTTATTTTAAATTATCTCATTCCCTACAAACAGTACGCATGTACACTAATATATGTGCGCGTATTAATCGGCTAATACGGAGGTGAAAGGACGTGGAGAATAATAAAGGATAAGCACATGGTTTTCAATATAAATGTACATGAGAAAAAGAATATATAAAAGTTGTTGAGGTGATTTGAAAATAGTTTAGGATTTCTGATGCAAAATTACCAGCGAGAGTTGAAAAACGGTTAGATGATTTCAACAAATATGCTCTCACCTTTTTTTAGCCACTTGTATAACTCATTGATTTACCATTTGTTCTTTTGTAAATTATTGAAGATGAACTAAAAATATTTACAAATTTTGTTCCAATAATAAGTTGTCTTAGTTTTGTGCAAAGTCAGGACAAAAATATATTTCCTTTAGTTAAATTTAGAGAAGATTGGTTTGTGACAAAAATTAAAACCACCTATATATTTTGAAGCGGAGAGAATACATGATTGCAAACCATGAAGTATGAAAATACGCTCATGATCTGGTAATGTAATGTGTACTTGTGATGATAACATTGCAGTCCTGAACCACCTCATGGAAGGTTCAAATAATTTTCTATCACCGTCCTCGCTTGTGCCGCGGAAAGAGAAAAACAAGAATAACTTTCCTTAGAAATTGATAACCCCTAGTATATTATTCTATCTGATCTAGTATTAACAGGATAAAGACAAAAAATATTTTCTTTTTTGTGGTTCCGATTAAATGGCACCAATCATGAACTCTCTTGTTTGCTATAAAAACAAGGAATGAGTCAAAGCGTTTTTAAGGTCAGAAAGCTTCAAGGTCAACTCTCAGTAGCACCTGTTATTTTCCAATGTGAGGATGAATAAAAAGTAACTACTAGATTCGCAATATGTCCGTACATTAGTCCAGGACAATCCGTTCCACGGACCAGAATGATAAGCTGTTTTAAATTATCTCGTTCTCCTGCAAACACACGTGTAAAGTTGCACAAATCACGAACCTCTTAGCTTAAAGAATTCTAATGTAGACAATTGCGTACGACATATTAGTGTATCATTTTTCCCTCTCTCTTAGTGATCTAACCAAGTTATTATTTTAGTTGTGCGAAACTTTTAAAGCCAATTAGGCAACGCGCATTTCCGAGGGTAACTATGTTCAACTT